TGTAAATTGTTATATTTGGCAATGTTTAATAGTGCTAGCACATAACACGCAGTAAATAATTTTGTTAGTTCTTTAAAAATTACTAATGCAATATCATCTATATCAGTATCAAAATGTGGTAACATTCCACTCTTTGCATCATATTCTCATGACCAATCATTCCTGAAAAGAGCATTAACATACTTCCAACTGATAAAAGTCTGTTTTCCAGAAGTCCTGGAACCTTGATGATCTTTAATCCCAGCTCCTCACAAGTTAAGAGTTTCAGACTGAATAATCTCATTATTTTCAAAGTTAGTCCTCACACAGACTACAGTAACACAGAGAAGGTTACTTCTCTGAATGGATATCTAGTTCCACCGTGTATCTTGAGGTTTCCCACCAATAAATCAAGCATAACAGAAGCTATTTTACTCCTGAAAAGAATGACTGTTTCAAACATACTTCCTGAAGCTGCTCAGCATTCTGTGGGGTTTTGTCGGCTACACATAATCCTGGAAGGGTGCCTTCAGAGAAAAATAGAGACTCTAGGCTGCTTCCCTGGGTGGAATCAAACAGCCACAGTTACAAGGAAATATTTTAAGATTTTATTTTTAAGTAATGTCCACATCCACCACGGGACTCGAACTTACAACCTGGAGATCGAGTCATGTATTCTACAGATTGAGCCAGCCAGGCACCCCAATACTTTAATTTAAGCCCAACTGTGGTAGTCCTCAAAATATTTTTTAAAAAATATTTAATAACCTGGGGTGCCAGGGTGGTGGACTCAGTTAAGACCTGACTCTTGATCTTGGCTCAGGTCGCCATCTCACTGCTTGTGAGTTTGAGGCCCGCATCCGGATTTGCACTGGGGCAAAGCCTACTTGGGATTCCGTCTCTCCTTCTCTCCACTCCTCCCCCATTTGTGATCGCTCTTTCCTCTCTCTCTCCCTCTCTCAAAATACACAAATAAAAAGAAACTTAAAAATATTTAATAACTCACAGCTTTGGAATTTTAAAAAATTATAGAATGTGTATCAGATAAGATTTCAGAGATCACTAAATCAAAATATTTTAATTTATAGATGAGAAAGACCTGATTTGCCAAAGGACCAATTAGTTTTCATTAATTTATGTTGGCTTCCAATCATAAAGTTATATTGATGTTCTATTTATAAGCCAGGCACTGTGCCGGGGGCCAAGATTACATATGTATCTCAGTAAAACAATTAATTCATTTAATCTAAATCAATGAGATTTTTCGCAGTGAAACAGATACATCAGAGAATCAGATAAAATTCCTTTAACATCTTACTTTTCTTACAAAGAAAGCTCCCTTTTCTTTTAGGGAGACAGTCCAATGTATAGGTTAATACTGGCTCTGGAGGAGCCAGGGTAGCTCAGTCCATTAAGCTAAGCATCCGACTTTGGCTAAGGTCATGATCTCCCAGTTTGTGAGTTTGAGCCCCACGTTGTGAGCTGACAGCTCAGAGCCTAGAGCCTGCTTCAGATTCTGAGTCTCTGTCTCTCTTTGCCCCTCCCCCACTCACACTCTATTTCTCTGTCTCTCAAAAATAAATAAAAACATTAAATTATATATATATATGTATGGGGCACCTGAGTGGCTCAGTCAGTTGAGTGCCTGACTTTAGCTCAGGTCATGGTCTCATGGTGTGTGAGTTCGAGTCCCATGTCAGGTTCTGTGCTGACAGTGGGAAGCCTGGAACCTCCTTTAGATTCCGGGTCTCCTTCTCTCTCTGCCCCCTCCACCTCTCAAAAATAAATAAACGTTAAAAAAAAAAAAAGAATACTGGCTCTGGAGGTAGGCTACACTATTTAGATTCCTGATGTTGATTCTGGCTGTGTAACCTTATGGCAATTTACTTAACAGCTCTGTTTGTTTCTTGATCTTTAAGCGGATAATCAAATTCTGTAAACAATCTTTTCCATGGCTCGTACATATAAGTGCTCTATAAATGTTAGGTACTATTATTTTCCTTAGGGAGTTTTCTTAACAAAACATAGGAAAGTAATCAAGATATGGAGTAAGTGCCCTTTAAAAAGCAGCTACTAAAATATAATTACAAACACTGTAGTAAAAGTTGATTAAATATAAAGGGTAAAGAGGAAAAAATGGTTCTTCAAGGGACAATTTATAAGTTAAATCCTACTTAAAATACTAGAAGTTTTGTCTTTAATATTAAAAACTTCATTGAAGCTCATTCTCAAAATATTTCAAGAAAGAAAATGGTTGAATACTAATGTCATAGTGTTTCTGGGTTTCACTAAGGGTCCGGTCTAGGCACGTTAAATGACACCTTAAACACAAGTGTCATAGCCCAGTGGTGTCCTCAATAAGCTTCAGCCTAGAATCCAACAAATGTATGGATTTTACAAAACAGTTACTGGTGTCTTTACTCAAAGACAGCCTTTTTAAAAAATTATGCAGTAGGAGGAATATGTGGCACTCTCTCCCTTGCAAGGACTTAATATCAACTTGGAAAGCCAGGCCAGAGTCACAGAACACAGGGTCTTAAAAGCTGTGTGACCTTGGAAAACTCACTTAACAGGTCTTTAAAATTCATGATCTCATCTACAAATTGGTGCTAGTATCTACCTCTCAGATTTGGAGGTGGTGAAAGAAGGGGGCGGGGGGCAGAGCAGATAAACTAAGATTTCTATGAAAATGCTTTGAGAATGGCCCATAGACTCGTATACACCACTGCTCCTGATCCTTCTGGCCCACAGGCACAGGGAGGAGAAACCACGTGGCAAGCTAAGGTTAAACTGCAATTTGCATTTCAGTAAATAAGCCTTGATAAGTGTTCCTATTGCAGGTTGTTTTCGGAAATAATTCCAGAGATCGCCATAATTCATGAAACGCATATTAGGGCCAAGCATCCTTTTCTGCCTAGCACCCTGAAACTCCTAACAAAGAAAGCCACAATCTCTATTTCTATATTTCTTCCCTCCACCAGCACAGACTGAATGCTGCCTAACATGTGATGGTAAAATATCTTTAAGAAATCTTTAGAGGTATTTTGAAAAGTTAATCCTATTTATGTAATCAGTATAAAAATCTGCTCTTCCAAAGCTGAAAAGGACTTTGATGAAAATCCCAATAGTACTCAAAGAAAAATTTTAAATTTCAAGCTTTTATAAACTGATACTAGACGGAGCCTCACAAACTATTAAGCTCATAAGGCAGGAAATTTAATCTATTCTAAGTATGGAAGGATAGAAGTGTCTAGGGCCTCTAAGTACACTCAGTTGCATACTCTGATCCAGTGTCAAAGGCAGGTTAAAAAAGGGGTTAAAAGAAAAGCCTGGTGCAACCTCAGCACAAATACAGAACATCAAAAGTGAACAAAACTGTCAATTTTGTTTCACTACAAACAGAATCATCCAATAGTATCTAACACACACGGATAATACGAGAAACTTGCAAAATGAAAACACTGTGTAGGAATCTTATCCTCAGAATGACAGTATTTGAAAAGAAGTCTTATTTAACTTGAAGTAATTAAAAAATAATCCACTTCAATGAGGTCACAGTAAGTCCATTTCAGTTTATAATTAACAGTAATTTGTTTAAATTAATAAACTTAAAACATTTTCTGGAATTTTTGGGTTTTTTTTTTTTTTTTTGCTTTTGGACCCTAATCTATCTCTGCCCTATAAATATCACTTATGTGGACACTAATTCAATATTTAAAAAGAATTCTAATAAAACAGTTTCTAATTGAGAGAAATCCATCACAAAAAGTCACTGTGCTGTTATCACTTTACAAGTATTATCTCATTCAGTCTTCCCCATAACTCTAAGTGGGAGGCATTATTATTTCTATAATATCCATTTTAAAGATGAAGAAACTGAGGTTTGTAGATACCCAGGAACTTGTTTACGATTATAAAGCCGTGACTGAATCCAGGCTAATCTGCAGTAGGTACCTTCATTCACATTAAAAACAAAGTAAAAACTAATTTTTCAGCTAGCTCCTTGTAACTTTAAAGAACATCAAGAATCATATATTCAACATTGGTGGTATTCATGAGAAATAAGTAATTTGTTTCCACCTAAACATTTCTATTAAAAGCAGGCCCTAACAAGTAGCATTTGACTTGTTTCCTGTTTTTCGATGTACATAAAACTAGTCTTGACACACCAATACCAAAGTTTTAAGTTTTAACCATCATTTTATAAGCCAAGCATCTATATCTCACATTTAAAGAATATGAAGAAATGTCTTCTGTAAATGACTCAGGAGCTAAGCCTGCAAAAATGTGAATCAGTGATTTATTCTCCCTCAATATTCTCTATGCTTATCCTCAGAATCAGTAAAGAAACAAAACATGTAACCTCCAGAGAGAAGAGAAAATACAGAACAGGAGAATTGAGCCATTAGACCCTTTCACCTTACTACAAGCATTTGGCTCCAAGGGACTGGACTAGTAAGGTGTTACACCGCCTTTTACAAATATCAGAGTTGTAAGTGACCATTAAAAAGGCATCTGCAATGCGAGTCCATTGTACCCGAAAAGCTGAATCAAATAGGAACATTTATCACGATTACCAGGTCTCAATATCTAGCTTCCCTGTCAATTATACAAAGAGTCAGTTATTAAATATTAATGGCAAGCCATTTGCACTGGAGCTCTTGCAAAGAGCCTCTTGCTACTAATTTTTGTTATGAAAGAAAAACCGTCCTTATTTTCTAGGGAAACTCCAAGCCTCTAGAATCCCTCCGTTGGGATATCACATTCTGTCCTTCCCATAGGAGACTGTCAGGGCCACCTCCACACGCAGGGGAGGAGGAAGGGCTCTGGGGAAGGCGGTCCCCAAAGGTACCGGGGCCCAGGGTCCCCGTGCCCCTGCTCCCCCAAGCTGTCAGCGACAGGTCCGGCGGTGGGGCGGGGCCAGGCCCGGCAGTTCGCACAAAGCGAGCGAGCGGGCGGGCGGACCCTGACCCGGGCCGGGGTGGGGACGGGCGGGGCGGAGCGAGGCGAGGGACACTTACCCAGCAGCAGTACGTTCTTCCCGGCAGGGAGCTTGGAGCGCGAGCGGGTGGAGACCTCGCTGAGGATGCAGGACCTAGCGGGGAGCAAGGCGCACGCTGAGGCCGGGGGCCGGGACCCCACCGCGGGAGGGACACCCCGCCTCGGTGCGCTTGAGCGAGGGCTGCCCGAGAACCAGTGGCCTGGGCCCGGCGCCGAGTTTCGGCGGGCACGGGATCCCGAGGTGTCCGCAGGGCCGGCAGTGCCCGCGGGGACCCAGGGAAGGGTGGGGTCGTTACCAAAGGTTCTGCCCGTCCTCGTCGTCGCCCGCTGCGGCGCCGCCGTTGCCGGATGTTAGCTCGTTACCCAAGGGGCCGCCCGTGTAAGTCGAGGCTAATCCCGGCGGAGAGGAACCGAAGGAGCCGACTCGCCCCACAGCCGCCATCTTGGTCGGGAATCACACCACTCCCGGCAAAGCTGAATGAGCTAGGCGGCAGCCGCGGCGGTGGCGGCGGCGGGAACCCGGATATGGAGCGCTCAGCACACGGGAGCGGGGCGGGGCCTGCGGGGGCGGGGCCGCGGGCCCTGCCGGGACGCAATGAGCGAGGGAGGACGCACTGCGCGTGCGCTGCAGTCTGGCCGGCGCGCGGGAGGAATGCGCGTGCGCGGGCGACCGGGCAGGCGGCGGTGCTGCAGCCCGTGTTCCACTGAATTCAGCGTAGTGAGGAGCCTCCCGCCGCCCCACCCGCACCTCTCGGCTGCAGCATAGCCGGTTGGGGTGTGTCAGGTGAGCAGTGCTCCCTCCCACTCTTCAGTCGGGTTTACAAACCCCGCAGCCAGCGTGGAATTCCTGCACTGTCATTGCTGTCCCGCCCCCCCGCCGACTCCCGATTTCGACTGAACGGCGGTCACCCGCCTACACCGACACTTCACCCGTGCCAAGACGGAAACGGGCCGCCCCGCCGCAAAAGAGGCTTTGTGCAGCCCGTGTCCGGAGAGTCACTGCCGTCCCGGATTTCTGGGCTCTCTGCTTTGCAATCTCACGTGGCGCCGTGTTCCTCAGTCTTGGCCCCACCTCTGAAGCAGGTTTTCCCAGCCCCTGAGCCGCTGCGTGATGGAAAAAGTATTGACGGGGCTTGCTTTAATAATAGTCTCGATTTTTCGTATGAGATGCTCCGCGTGAGATTTGGCAAGAGCAGCTAGGTGAGTCATCCATACATCCAGTCAACAGACGTTTATTCAGCCCGTACTACGGCAGGCACAGTTGCCCTGGGCATACATAGCTGGAAAAGAACCTGAAGTAGCCCTAAAATAACTCCCTTTCTATCACAACTTTACAGGTTAAATCTATTTGACTGTCTGAGCCCCACCTCCAGAGAGAGTTGATGGTTTTAAGGCTCTGTCCTGGTACACCTCGTCAGAGCCTTTGCTAAAACCAGTCTGGCTCTTTGTACATTATTGCTGTCATAGTTGACGATCACTTGCTGATATGTAATCTGATCATTGCTCTTAGGATAGTGAAAAAATCCACAGCTAAAGACTGCATTTGTTCTACATTAGCAGTACAGTTAGAAGCCTAGAAGGCTTTGGAGACAGGGTATCAGTAACCATAGGCCATTTCCTTAACCTTTCTGAGTCTCAGTTTCCTTATCTGTAAGATGAAGATAAAAGGACCTAGAATTTTTATGAAGATCAAACCAGTCAATTCATGTAAAATGGCTTAGAACAGTGACTGACAAATCTTGAGTGCTTGATACATGTTTATTTTTAGTGACTAATGTTTTCCTTTACCATTCAAACCATTGGTATCTGACCAACCGCTAGAATTGATGAGCCTAATGAACTCCAGCAGCTAAAACTCCTCATAGTTAGTAAGTGAGTTAGTTTATATGGCTAGGAAAGGAACAGAACCCAGTCTTGGGGTCCTAGGCTTTCTATGGTTAACAAGCAGGACGGACTTCTGGGGGAAACAGCTTTAAAGTCACTGCTGTAAACAAGAGCTATATACTGCTCTTAGCCCCTCTGAGAATTGATTCACTCTCTGTATTTTACTCCCTCAGTCACCTTTTCTTGTCAGAGTGTTTTTTATTTCCTCAGTTTTGTTTGTATACAGAGTTCCATATCATATTTACTTAACCTGAGAAGTATCAAGTTTATAATAGTCAGGCTTCTGGTGCCCCATGACCTCTAGATGCCCAATTACCCACCTACATTGAGGTCAAAGTTGATTTTATAATATCCCTATCCAGCATTTTCCCATTAAGATGGCTGACAAGAGTGGTCGTTTATGAGTACCTACTGTATACCAGGCACACTATGTGTTATGGTTTGCAATCTTTGTACTTTGTAAAGAATCAGTGAAATTAAGTAATTTACCCCACAGGTTGGAGGTAGATAAACCGAGATCTTGACTTTCCACTCTCTCAAATGGTTAGGTCAATTACATTAGGATAAATGTCCTGGCCACTTTAGATGCTGTCATGCTAAATACCCCTGATAGAAATCTCTACATAACAAAAATAGAGAACCTTTGTAATATAAGGAAAGAAGTCCCTTGGAATGTTTGTTACACGGATAGTATTTACAACTGAGCTATCTCCTATATACTATGATTACTTTTCTTTCTTGCCCAATGTTTTGTTACATGTAATATTTGTTTTTATTTTTTTTAATGTTTTATTTATTTCTAGGAGAGAGAGAGACAGCGCGAGCAGGGGAGGGTCAGAGAGAGAGGGAGTCACAGACTGAAATAGGCTGCAGGCTCTGAGCTGGCAGTCAGCACAGAGCCCGAAGCGGGGCTCGAACCCACGAACCACGAGATCATGACCTAAGCGAAAGTCGGAAGCTTAACCGACTAAGCCACCCAGGTGTCCCTGTTACATGTAATATTTGGATTTTCATTTGCTTAGATTTCTATGCTCTTAACTACATAATTCAGTTTCAAATACTTGTCCCAGTTGTGTAAAACTTCTTATTAGGTATTCACTCAATTACATCTTTATGGATCTTCTGACCTGCTTCAATTTGAATTGGTTGTTCTGTGTACCTAATACACAGCTGACATCTTGGTATAGTCTCTTGCCATTATTCTGGGGATTCCTTTGCCTTATTCCTGTGTTCTCTTCTTATTTTTGTGAGAAAATAAGAACTCCCTCCACTAGGTTTGTGAGAAAAGGTATATGGAGACCTGTATATCCAGTCAAGACCTAGCCAGGGAAAAAATGGCATTCTTAAGGCAGGGCTAGATAACAGCTTAAAGAAGAACTGTTTACAAAGGTGTGAACAGCATGGAGATGGGGCTAGCAAGAGCAGGAAGATTTAAGCCTAAAGGGTAAAGAGGAAGGAATGTTTACTAGAATCCTGAAAGAGCTGCAGCTATAAGAAAGGATTGCTCAATAAAATCTGTGACTTCAGTAAAAGAACACAGTGCTGAGTTCTCTCTTTCTGCCCCCTGGTATCTTGCCAGTGTCTTACATTGCCCAAACTTAACCAGAAGTGCTGGAGGATGAGAGAATTCAAGTGAAGCAGCCCATACAAGTCTACTGCCCAGAGCACAAAGAAGGGTAGAGAGGGGTGGACAGTGGATCTGGAGGAACAAATGGAAGATATCCAGCACACCTTTTGTGTTTGAAAATGCATTTAGTCTAGACTCACTTGGTGATAGTTTGGCTGGGTATAAAAGTCTTATGTTTCAAATTATCTTCCCTTAGGTTTTTAAAGGCCTGTTCACTTGTCTGCTAGATTATAATTTTTTTAACATTTATTTTTGAGAGAGAGAGACACAGAGTGTGAGTGGGGGAGGAGCAGACAAAGAGGGAAATACAGAATCCAAAGAAGGCTCCAGGCTCTGAGGTGTCAGCACAGAGCCCTACTTGGGTCTGGAACTCACAAGCCATGAGATCATGACCTGAGCCAAAATAGGACCCTTAACCAGCTGAGCCATCCAGGTGCCTAGTCTGCTGGATCCTAATGTTGCCCCTGGGCAATTCATTATTTTTCCTTATCTTTTGTTATGTGTTCTTTGGAGGCCTCTTGATTTCCACTAACACATTTACCCCTATATCCACTATCTGCACTTTCGTACCAATTTTCCTGCCAATTATCATAGGAAGAATAATTCATATTCTTACACTAAAGCACTTACGTACTAGATTCCATCTCTTCTCAACTCTAGGACATTGATCCAACAATTCTCCCCTCTTTCTCTACATAATCATTTTTGATCTCCACTGGATCATTTCATTAGCATTCTCCCATTTTAAAAGAAAGAAAAGAGGTGCACGTGGGTGGCTCAGTCGGTTAAGCAGCTGACTCTTGATATGAGCCCAGGTCATGATCTCATGGTTCATAAGTTAGAGCCCAAGTCAGGCTCCATACTAACAGTGTAGAGCCTGCTTGGGATTCTTTGTGTCCCTCTCTCTCTCTGTTCCTCCTTTTCTCTCTCTCTCTAATATATAAACTTTAAAAAAGAAAGAAAAGAAATCTCTTTTAACCCTACTTCTTCACCAGCTACTGCTACATTTCATTCTTCTCTTTAACAGCAAAATTCTTTAAAATAGTTGTCTTTATTTGGTGTCTTCATTCCTCCTTCCCTTGCCTTTATAACCCACCTTAATCAGACTTTTGCCCCTCAGACTCCACAAAGACTGCTTTTATATTTCTGAACAATAACCTCCTTTTCGTGAAATCCAGTGGTAAGTTCTCTATCCTTGTCTTTCTTAACCCATTAGTAGCACATGATACAGTTGGTCACTCCGTGTGGATATCTGTCTTCACATGGCTTCTAGGTCACAATGTTTTCCTTGTTCTTTCCCTGCCTCACTAGCTGCTCCTTCTCAGTCTTCACCATTTCCTCATTTCCTGACCACTTAACGTTGAAGGACTGCAAGGCTAAGTCTTTGTTCCTCTTCTCCAGTCTTGGTGACCTCATCCAGTCTCAAATGTATGATACTTTACTTTAATTCTTTATGTACCCTAATACTCAAATGTATGATAAAAACTCCCATATTTATCTCTCTATCCCAGGGCCTGCATGTGAAACTCCAAACTAATACATCCAACTGCTTATTCCACATCTTCACTTGGATACCTAATAGCACATTTCAAATTCAACATGTTCCAAGGTGAGCAATTTTTTTCTGAATTTTTAATGTTTATTTATTTTTGAGAGAGAGAAAGGGAGGAGGGAGGGACAAAGAGAGAGGGAGACACTGAATTTGAAGCAGGCTCCAGGCTCTGAGCTGTCAGTACAGAGCCCAATGCAGGGCTCGAACCCACGAGCCGTGAGATCATGACCTGAGCCAGAGTTGGATGCTTAACTATCTGATCCACCAAGTCATCCCTTTAAAGTTTATTTTTTGGAGGGTGGGGGGAGAGAGACAGAGAGAGAAAAAGCACAAGTGGGGGAGGGGCCAAGAGAGAGGGAGAGAGAGAATCCTCTCTGAGACTGACTCGGGGCTCTATCTCACTAACTCTGAGATCATGACCTAAGGTGGAATCAAGATTCAGGCACTTAACTGACTAAGCCACCAAGGTGCCCCCCAAGCTGAGCTTCTGACCTACCCTGGAAAAAGTTCCTCAACCCAAGGCCTTCCCATTGGGTAGGAATTCTTTTTGCCCAATCATTCTTGACTTCTCTATTTCTCTCACACCCCACACTGAATCCTATAGACTCTACCTCCCAAATATACCCACAATCAAACTTGTTATCAACCATCTACTGATGCCCCCTTGGGCTGAGCTATCTTTTGCCTAAATTACTATAAAAACTCTTCAACATGGCAGCTAGAGGGATCCTTTAAAAGTTTAAGCCAGATCGGGGATGCCTGGGTGGCTAGTCATTAAGCATCCGACTTCAGCTCAGATCATGATCTCACAGTTCATGGGTTTGAGCCTCACATTGGGCCCTGTGCTGACGGCTAGCTCAGAGTCTGGAACCTGTTTCGGATTCTGTGTCTCCCTCTCTCTCTGTCCCTCCCCTGCTCGCACTCTGTCTCTCTCACAAAAATAAATAAACATTAAAAAAAAAAAAAAGTTAAAAGAAATATAAGCCAGGTCATATCACTTCTCTACTCAAAACCCCATTAGTAGCTCCTCATTTTAATCAGAGTAAAAGCCAACATCCTTCCAGTGACCCACAAGGTTGTAAAGGATCTACCCCCTACTGCCTCTCTGAACTTCTTCTCTCCACTCCCTCCCTTGACCTCTCTTATCTAGCCACGTCGGCCCTCCTGCTGTCCTTAAACATAATTGTTTATCATTTCGCTTTAGCTGTTTCCTCTGCATTGAAGGAGGTAAGGAGCCAACCAAGCCAGTATCTTCCCCCAGACAGCTACTTAGCTAACTCCCACTCCTGCAAGTCACTGCTCAGGCCTCAGTTTCTCGAGGAGGTGTACCCTGATCTCCCTGTTTAACACTGCAACTTGAACCCTTTCCCCTGCCAATTCAGATTCTTATCTTACTTGCCCTTCTGTTTACCATAACACTTGTTACCTTCTAAGATGGTATAACATCTGCTTATTATTTGTTGAAAGTGTGAGCAAATCAGAAGATTTACTCCTTGTCACCAGGGTTCTAAAGTTTCAGGATGATGATGATGATGATGATGATGATGATGTAATGTGTGTGTGTGTGTGTGTGTGTGTGTGTGTGTGTGAAGAGGGTACAAAAAGTTCTGCACTACAATACTTGAGGACCTCTCTTTTACAATATTTTAATCATTGTTTAATATAAGTCTTTCTAAAATGTATATTCTCTTGCTGTAACAGGTTGTGTGAATACAGATTTACCTTTTCTTGGAGGCTCTGGAGTTTAAGTTCATCAGTAATAGTTCCTTGCTATTATATGAGGAAGTGCTTAGATCCTACTGTGATGCCCCAAGGTGTATCACAGATGTCTTCTTTAGTCTGGCTTCTAATTCAGCTGAGCCTTGAGGCCTGGAAGTGGGAAATGGAACACTGCCCAGAGGAGAGACGGCTCCTCCTTTCTCCAACTTTCTGTCACCCAGGAGCTACATGTCTCTCTTCTTTCTCTGTAGACCATCACCTCCTGCTCACTCATCAGCTTCTTAAAGGCCACAGTTGAGTATTTCTTTATCTCAAGAAAAAGGATCATTTGGCAGGGGCTAGAGCTCTGCAGAAAAGCATTTTGGGAAAGGAGCCTCCTGTGGGGCTGAGGTGAGGTGATACCAGCCACTTCCTCTTTGTGTTGGGGATGCCTTCCTCTGTGTTTGGGAACTGGGACAAGGCACTCACCCCTTGAGTTGCTTCCTGTTGTACCAGCTCCCACAGACTGCCTTCAACAGATTTGCAGATAAGACTGGCTTCCCCCACTATGCCAAAGCCTGGTCATCACAGTTGATAGAAATGCCAGCTGAAAAGCCAAAATGAAAAAAAGAAAATGAAAGAAATAAGCAAGATGAGTGGACTCTTGAAGTTTGACTCTGTCAGCAACTCAAATAATAAAATAATGTTGGAAAGAGCTTCAGAGATTAAACAGTCACCAACCATTACTCAATTGTATGTGTGTGTGTGTGTGTGTGTGTGTTTGTGTGTGTTTAAATAACAAAATGGTAATGTTAGAACGGGCAGAATCCTTGCTTACAAACTCTCCCACTAGGGTATCCTGGGATCCAATTAGAGGGAAAACAGATGCCCAGTGTTGCTTATTTTTGCTTTTCTTTGAGTCGTGTTTATCTCATTCTAGGTATCTACATAGAATGAATGAAATGATAGGTATCTAACTCATTTTTCAGTCACCAGTCCCTTGAATTACAGACCTGACCTCCCTCCTACTACTTACCTATGATTTTTTTCAAGTCTGCCTCACAGAACTTCATATCTTAAACAAAGAAACAGTTAGGGAAATAAATTCCTGACAGGAGAAATAGACTCTCTTGGCCTTTTTGTTTTTCCTTCATAGAAAACACTAGAAAGGGAATCTCCTCTATTTCTAAGTCTAAAGCAAAACCCACATCCCTTAAAAAAAGTACTGTGTATACATATGTGTATGTTTGTGTACAAGCATACTTTAGGATTAAATTTTATAGAGAAATAATTTTCATTTGTTTAGAAATTTATCACAGAAAAGGAATACCTCCTGAATATTTTTAAAATTCCAGGGCAAGGTAATAGTTAAAATTGCCTTTTCATTTCAGACTCAGCTCCTCATCTATCCATTCCTGGAAAATGGGTGATGAATGAAAGGGAACAAAGTGTAAATCAATTCACATTCATGGACAGTCAGTAGAATGCACAGGGAAAACACAGAGACTTATCTTCTAGGCTAGAAGAATGTTTATTCTTCATCTAAGTGTTGTAATTAACTACTTAGACATTTTAAAATACATAATAGATAAAATTTTTAGAATGCTAGTTGCCATTGTTTTCATCTGTTCTTTACCACTGTGAAGAAGAAAGAAAAGTTCACTGATTATAGTTAGTTGGATATTTATTACATGTATTTTTGGAAGATCACATTTCCTTGTAGTTAAATACTGTAATATTCTGAAATCCAGTACCTTTTTTTTTTTTTATAATGATTTTAATGTCACTTCTCAGATTTCTGATGTTACACTCTCCCACCCTCCCTACTTCCTACAGGAGAAGATATTTAGTAACTGATTTTATAAATTGAGACCAGCAAACATTAGGTGATAAAGATTACATTTTTCAGCTTTGGTGCTCTACATGAGACAAAATGGGAAAAATATGAACTTCCCTGGTATTTTCAGAAATAAGCTTTCTTTTGTAACTGCAGGTGGTATATTCATAACAATTTAGTCTGCTTCAGTCTAGAACTAATTATACATTTTTAGTGCTTTTACTAAAAGTAAGCCTAGAAGTATAACCTATTATATTCTGTACCAATGAAAGCATTGTATATGTTTCTTTTTTCCCCAGATGGCAGAAGATGAAAGAGTTGCTCAGTGGGATATTTCTTTTAAGCAAAATGAATCAGTTATTTGACACTCTATAAGATCAAAGAGTTGTTTGAGGAGAGTCTGTCTAATGATCCTTAACATTTTACTACTGGAAAACAGAGTTGCTTAGTAATGTAAAAGTGAAATCAAGAAGCAGAATGTCCTTTCTGATCTTTCCTCAGTAAATTTCAGTGAACCTCATCTTCTATTTCAGTCCATCTGTTGGTAAATGAGGAATAGCCAGATAACCCACTGGAATTTGCACCTTGATATATATAAATATATATATTTACGTGTGTGTATGCTTATGTATTTTTGTGTATATGTATATTTCTATATGTGTTATATGTGTGTTTATATATATAAAACTAGCTCTAGTCTAGTAAGTGTATTAACCATATGATCTCATGGTTTAAAATTTTAATTTTTTTGGGGGTGCCTGGGTAGTTCAGTTGATGACTTCGGCACAGGTCATAACCTCATAGCTTGTGAATTCGAGCCCCATGGTCAAGCTCTGTGCTGACAGCTCAGAGCCTGGATGGAGCCTGCTTTGGATTCTGTGCCTCCTTCTTTCTCTGTCCCTCCCCCGCTCATGTTCTGTCTCTCAAAAATAAATAAACATTAAAAAAATAACATTTCTATTTTTTAAAGATGTTTATTTTTGAGGGAGAGAGAGTGAGAGTGCTAGCGGGGGAAGGATGGAGAGAGGATCCATAGAAGGCTCTGTGCTGAGAGCTCCTGATGTGGGGCTTAAACTCATGTAGCCATGAAATCATGACCTGAGCCAAAGTCACATACTTAATGGAGTCACCCAGGCGTCCCATGGTTTAAAATTTTAAATAGCAGCAATATCATACTAAGCCTGACATTTTAGACTCTGTACCATCAAACCTAAGTAGTAGATTAAACAATGTTAATGACAAATTGAGTGATATAGACCCCTAATTTGCATCATTTAGATGAAATAAAATGTTTGGACTCCATGTTTAGACTGAGGCAAATGGCAATGGGGTATAGTCCAGGGACCAGAAACAGACCAATCTGAGTTCTGATCTCGGGTCTACCACTTCCTGTATGACCTTGAAGTTGTGTACACTTTGAAGTCTTAGTTTGCTCAACTCTAATAGAGTTGTCAAAAAAAATAAATAAGCAAAATCTGACAAATAGTGAGAACTCTATAAATGTTAGCAGGAATATTTACTC